TATCCTCGAAATAACCTTATTATTATACATCTTTTTCTCCCAAGGATACATCAAGGGAATGCCGAAATCGAAAATGTTTTGAACAGAATCAGCGAACTTCTTTGTGTGGAGTCTGGTCATACCCTCGTGGCAGCCGTGTTTGTTTTTATTATTAGAGAACGCTTACGCGCGTAATCATTCCATATTTGGAATTCGCATTTCCTAGTATGGTAGAATGAAAAATACTCCGTAAAATTCTGCAAAATTTCGACACGCTGTAACTTATGGCGTTGCGATGACAGATTTTTAATGAACAACTTTATTTCTAATATTACTCACCAGCTTTTCCTTGATGTCGTTAACATATTCAATGGCGTCTTGTACGTCATCAGAGCTGACAAATTAAATATAATTACATTCAAAATAATATTTTAAAATGACATCATTGTGTCTTATGACGTTGAAAGCATTATTTCAGATGTATACATGTTTTTATTACTGGAACACTTCACAATTACACAATAATATGATATTAATGCTGAGGTAGTGTGTAACATAATCACATACCAATATTATATTTATGCCGATTCGAGCAAATTGAAAGAAGGTGTAACATTTAAATGGAATAAATATCTTTAAACATGTCGAAGTGCCGCAACTTACGTTGTATATTAAAAATCCCAATATGTTAATAACATAGCCAATCTGAAGTGATGATGACAAGGTGATATATTACATTACTTGGTTAAGTTGGTGAAATATGTGTACACATGTTTCAAAACTCTCGTCCGCATCAAGTCTCTTTCCCAATGCATTGCTACCGTCTCTTTTTGAATTGTTGGCTCGAGGGCGTGTTTTTAAATTAGCAAGCCATGGTGAAATACACTGTATTTTACGGCTGTTCATGTTTATAAGTGGGTCCCAACCGTGAATAGGACATAGCAGGCGTAAATTCTGCAGTTAAGTGATATTGACAAAAAATACACGTGTTGAGTACGAAAAGGAAACTTATTTTTACAGAATTACGCAAAAGACGCTAAAACAAATTACTGCTGTGAACCTAGAAATGGTGTCCACCCTCAAAACCCGATCGGGCATTCAGTCCTAATTGCTGTTTTTCAATTTTGACGATTATTGACATTTCATATACCAACAACGCCACCATTAGGAAACTACTTGAACTACAACATCAACATCAGATGTGAATTTTCTCTACCGATAAATAAAAACATGTGCTTGAATGGAAATAACTTCAGAAACAAGTCTTTTTTCCTTATTATTAAATCGTTTTTTGTCTATGGAGGTGTTTTTATCACTACGTTTCTAGTTTAGTTCATGCCGAATTTAATTTTTAAAGTCGTATTAAAATTGTTACGCTACGTTTATTTCATACAAAAATCATGCTCTTTCATACAAAAACTACTTATTTGCCATGCCAAAGAAATAAGTCCTTTCACACTCATTACAATAGTGACTAATCACAAAGAATGACATTCATGAGCACCATTCATGAACGGTAACCGTATAATAATAAAAACCACGTGGAAGTGGAAAATTTAGATCACAAACAACTTTCATTGGAAATAAGTGCGTATGTAAATACAATGCTCGTGTTATTGCTTACTATACCCACACGACTAGTGCATGCACAATTTATTTTATACAACTATATGATAGGAACGGCATGTCGAATACCCACGT